TGATGCTGTACTGGRAGACTTCAGAGGAAAAGGGAATGAATATGGGTGCTGTGGTCACCAGGACTTTTCACCAGGCTTCCTCTTTCTTCTGCTGGGGATGGTGGGGGAAGTTGATCAGGAAATCCCATGACTCAGTGGGACCACAGATGGGGAAGGTGKAACAAAAATAAACAAGAGGCCTGGAAGGCACCAGGAGAGGGGCCACAGCTTGACACCATGGGTCTGTGTACATGGCCAGGTCCCCAGATGGCACACAATGGTCAGGGCATCCTGTAGGACTTCCTGTCAGCACAGGCTGCTCCCAGGAGGAGCTCCTGACTTACATTCCRGTGGGCCATGGAATAATCCAGGAATACAAGGTGATCTACTGGTATCCTTCATTTCTTTCAGTGTAAGAGGTTCCATAGCATGTGTGTCTGGAGGAGCTGTACAGGCAAGAGAAAGGAGAGAGGAGCACCAGGAGGAGTAAACATTTCCACAGCATCATTTGGGGGCAGATGTGCTGAACTTTAGACCTCTTGTAAAGCAGTGCCTGGCTGGGTGTGGCAAGGAGATGAAAGATCCAAGAAGGACCTCTGCAAAGCTGGAACTGTTAGCACAGAACTGAGCAGAGATATCAGGAGATATCTGCTCTGAGAGCAGAGATATCTGCTCTTTACTTTCTGGAGAAGGCAGCACGGACCCCACATGTAGGGCAAGCAATGTGGAGTCCACTGAAAGCTGCAAAGATTTCTGTCCAAGATGTCCCTAGGCCTGGTGGCACCAGCACCATCTACCAAACTGATGATAAAACAGGATCCAAGGCCCCGTTAAAAAGGAGATTTCAATATGTATCTCCCATGGATGCTGTGGTTTGGATGCAGCACCATTGGTTACCTGACAGCTCACTGACTGCAGCTGCAGATGAGGTGCTGGACGAGGTGCAGCTTCAATGCAGCCTTATCCTCATTCTTACAATGGTGTGCACAGGCTTGAGATAATCTCTTGCTCACTCCTTGCTGAAAGGCAGTTCCTGAACTCTATATTATCTAAAGACGCTTCCAATTTTGGATGCCTCCATTTTGGGTCCATGCTTCAGGTGACATTTCAATTTCTACATGAGTATGTTTAACTCCTACTTTGACAAAAAGGGCTGGCACATCTCAGAAGGCTCACTCCAAAGTCCAGGCATTTCAGAGGACTGCTGTTTGTGTATAATTAATTGGGTGTTACTGAGCTGGCAGCAGCAGCCACTCTGCAGTACAAAGCTCTGTGCCGCCCACCAGGTCACAGTTTCAGTGTTTTGATTTCTCAGTATTGCTGGATCTCACTGTTTAAACAGCAAAGGCAATCCCTGACCCAAGATCTGCCATAAAGGGGCAGAGAAGAGAACTTGTCCTTAAACTTCCCTCACTCCAGTTTGTGAGCAATGTGCATGCCTCTCATTAGCTGCAGCCTGGAAAGTCTCAGTTGCTKTTACTTGCTGGTGTGGTCAGTGTCAAGATCTCAGCACAGCAGGAAAATAAATGCTGTGGCTGCAGCTCTGATGGGCCCCTAAAAGTACATGACTGCTCTGCTTTTGTGCCTGTGGATTCTTCTGTSACTGTTCCTTCAGCTGACATTGCCATGTTACACACTGTATATTATTTAGAGAACAGTTGTCTGCTAAAACATAAAACAAAAGGCTTCCTGGTTTGTCAGCTGAACCAAAGCAGGCAATTTTTATTGCAGCATGGGAGATTAATAATTATAAATAAACAACCCCTCTCACCAGAGGCTTCACAACAGACATGAAGCACATGGRCAGACATAATTCACAGCAGGACCTTAAATGCAGTGGAACAAATGATATTTGATAATCATATCCCAAATACAGAAAAATCTATGCCTTGACAAAAATGCTAAATGCTGTTTTGACACCTTTGTCTCACCCTTTGATCCTTCATTGTGGAGAGYTCTGAATTCCTTGTAGAGACCCAAGGTTTTGCTTTTTCTTCCATGCTGTGCTTCCTGATGAATGCTTATACCCAGGGAAAATGCATGAAATAAGAAGCTATCTTACACATAACTTGCAGTCACACTCTGCAGTGAGAAATTGGAAAAATCCACTACACAAGTATCTGAGGGATGTCATACCTACCTGGTTAAAGGAAACAGGATATGATTCCATGAACAGCATTCTCATGGCCCTATCAACACTGAAAAAAAATATACAGTCTTGACTTTTTAACCTTAYCCTATGAATCCATCCCACATCCTTGTACTTCTAGCCTTATTTCCCAGAGAGAATGAAATTTCTGTGATCATGCCATCTGTCTGTCTATCAGCCAGTATGTTCTGAACCTGCTTTCTATCAAACTGACAGAAGGATTGAGGCTCAAAGAGAATTAAGTGCCTATGAAATTCATGAAAATCAGCAGCTGGGTCAAAGATGARGATCCAAATGAGTGCCCTTGCTAAGGGAAAGGTAGGCAGAGCGCAGCAGTTTCACACACTGCTTGCTAATGTCAGTCATCACGTGTGCAGCTCTGGACTCACCAGAGCAGATGGTGCCTCCTCCTCCTCCTCAGTGAGATCAAGGGCTGTGCAGTGAGAGGGGCAGGCGAGGCAAGGAAAGAAAAAGGCAGTGGGACACACCTGGACAAAAGCAGCCTCATTAGAGCCACAAACAATGCATTTAATGACAAACTTCCACTTATCCACASAACTGTGCGGCTCCTGCAGTTCCTGAGGGCCCTCAAAGATGTGGATCTGTTTCTCATGGAGAAGGCTGACAGGCAATCACCACCTCTTCACTCCCACAGCCGGACCCATGCGCAGAGCTCCCACTGCTTTCACTGCTCGGTGAAACTCAAAGCAGACTCCAGGGCTCGGGAGACAATAGACTTGATCTTTGAAACCATARAAAGGATATTAAAAGTTAGGATGGAAAGTACATCCTAGTTCAAAGCTTCCTTAAAGAAAAAGAATCCCTACCAGGGAAAGTTTAGAAACAAAATTATTTCTCCTTCCCTAGCAAAGGGAGTTTCAGCTTTTGTTTTTTATATCCTGCTCTCCCATTTCACGTAGTGCGCTGTGGAACAGCGGCTGAGCTCGCAAATACTTCTGGAGGAAAAGGGCTGTTTTGTTTGAAATTATGCCTGTCCTGGAGGGAAAACCTGTGTGTTTTTAGGAGTCCTGTATTTTAACTAACTGAGGAAGAATGTTAACATCACCTCGGCAGGTGTGTGTGGCATTTCCCAGCGTTAAAGCCTGACCCTTTATGCTTACCTTGGGTGCACTTCTGGGTGGGCAAACTTGTGACCACAGCCCTYCAGGATCCTGCTGGCCAGGCCATCAGGGAAGGATTGCTGGGGGCTGACCCACAGCAGGGCAGGAGCTGCCTGTGGTTTGCTTACAGGGGCTTTCCCCRTGATGAAAAGGGAGACAGAGAAGGGTTTTGGCTCTTGATGGGTTTATAAAGGATAAACACGTAGTTCTGCAGGACTCACAGAAAGAGGCCCTTGGGTGAAAGCTGAGTGCCCTTCTTGGAGATGGGCTTGATGTGTGACTGACTCACAGGGGCAGCAAAGTCATCTTTTTAGTGAAGAACAGATGTGAAATACATTAACTGGAGCCCTCTTCTCTCTAAGAGTTCCTTCAGCACCCCCCCTCCCCCTTCTGTCTTCTCAAGGACTCTATTATTTCACACAGGAGAAAGAAGTGATTTTTCTCTCACTCGCAAGAGATCCACTCACAAGAGTTTTATATTTTATTTGTATCTTCTCAGTAATAGAGTGAGGTCCCGGTCCTTGAAACCAGAAAACACAAAGAGAAAAATAAAGCTTAGAGCCTGTTATACTTGCCATTGTGGTCAGTGAAGATAGAAGCAAAAAGCCTTAAAAATAAGTGGGTTATTTCAACAGTGAGGTCCCTAGAGAAATTGCTGTCTGACATCCTTCACACAACAGATTGGAGTTTCCAAAAGTGTCACCCACCCACAGCATTTACCCATCTGAGTTGGACTTTCGCATGGTGAGGACTTGTCAAACTGACTTCTCACAAAGTTTTCTAGAGGTGATTTGGATTTAGGGTGCCCAGGCTGGAGTGGCTTCCAGAACTCTGCTTTTCAAAAGGGACTGACCATACATTCTCCACCYATCAAATCTCAAAACCTCCCCTTCTAAACAGCTTCTGCCCATCATGATCTCAGTAGCCTGAAGATGGCAGCCACAAATGTTTTCCAAAAATAACAGCAGCAACTTTCAGTTTCAGGATTTGTAAATGCTTCTCTGATCAACCTCAAACTTCCTCAAAATTTCTCCAGGGGGAAACAGCTCTCACAGATCACATGGAAAGGATTTCTCCTTCCCCTTCCAGATATCTAGAGGGGATGTCCACATGGTTCCTCTTCTGGGAGCTGCCTTGACTTTTTTCCATGATGAAATTTTTCAGCATATAATTTTGTAAAATTATGTCACTCCAGATGCCTTTGTTTGTCTTGAAAATGGTAAAATGCTAAGAAGGGATGATGTTCTGCATCATGTGTGCCTACCTGCAGAGTTAAATGTGTAACTGTGCTGAAATACAGTTTGTGTTGCTCAGCTATGCTGATAATTCCTGTTTAGCTCTCAGACCCAAGTCAAAACTGTGTGGCGCTGTGACCTGAGTTCTTAAACGTGGTTTCAGAAATTGTTCCTCGTAAGGCCGACCTTTGCACAGGCACTGTACTGTTAGAGCTGCAGAGGAGGAGGTTGAGAGGGGATTTTGAGGGGCTGGCAAGACCTTTCCCCTGACATTTTGTCACTCAAGAGAGATTCGTTCAGTGCTGATTTTGATGGCCTTCACACCAACCCACAGAGCCCCTTGGTTAACATTAACTCTGTTCAGATCAACACAGGGTGGGAGAATAAAGAAAAAAAGGGGGTGAGTTACTACCAGCGCCAGGGTTTGCAGAAATGGGAGTGACCTCACGGATGTCAGGGGAGGAGCCTCGGTTCACACATGCAGGGATTTTCCCTGTGACGAGAAATTGAGATAAGTCTGGGGGATTCCCCAGTTTGTCTTCAGAAATATCACTCTAGAAACAGCCACAGCTTCACTCTGCTCTCACAGCCTGTCCTGCAAAGAGGCACGCTGCTGCTGCTCYGTRAGCTGAAGCAGTAAAAGCCATGTCTTTGGGACTCCATGCTCTKCTCATCATCCTGTGCAATGGTAAGYGGGCAGCCCAGCATTTTTCATTCTGATCTTTCACGTTTGTGTTGCGGGGWTGTGTTCTGGGAGGACAGGAAGGGTTGTGTAAGACATCTCTTTTAAAGGTGATGTGTACCTGTGCTTTGCAGTTTGGCGCTTGATCCGTGGCWCTTCTGTGATGATCCCAGGCGTCGCTGTGAGGTGTGCTGAGGAAGCGGTGCTGCCCTGTAAAGTTCTTCAGGAATCCTCCATCTCCTACCAGACAGTGTCTTGGTATAAAGTAAGGAAAAACCTCAGTTATTTGAGCAGCCTGCTTTGCGTTTCTACCTGACACTGGCCTGTCTTGTACAAAACAGTTTGTTTTCTGCAGAGGCATCCTCCTGTCAGTRCAGCAGAGGGAAGGCAGCAGTGCAAGCATTTGAGCTTGCCATGGGGAACAGGCATTTTCTTGGAGATAGGCTRTTTGAGCACAGTTCTCTGAATTGCTCTGGGCCTGCTTTTCTATCTAATTATTGCTGGCTTCTGTGGATCACAGTTCAGGTGATGCCCCATGTGCAACCTGWCAAATACTACTCCAAAGAGGAGTCTTCCCGGATTTTCTTCAGAGTAAAAAATTGTATTTAAGCCTTGTAACATGCCCTTGTTTAACCCCTCCAAAGAGGAGCTGATTTTTTCTTTGAACTAAAAAAGKACTTKCTATTCTTCAGGAAGTTTTRACTARCGGGGTGGGCATACGGRCAGGGGGTGYGTGGAAGGCAGATGGAGAGCTAGAAATTCTGAGTTATCTCTTCGCACTCATGAAGTAAAAATCACATCTTGACTGCTCTGATTCAGTTCCTGTCTCCTGGGCAGGAGAGCCCTGCTGACCACTTGTGTGCAGAAGGGGTTACAGGATTCGATCAGCTAAAGAGCAGAAAATTCCTGCTCAACTTTATCAAGATGAAATTTCTTAGAGAGGTAGAATTGCCCAGTGGTGGAAGAGGCAGCTGTTGACAAGGTGTGTGGCACCTTGTGTTTACATCTCAGGCAGAGCTTCAGTTTATGGTGTGAGCCAAATTAACAGGAAAACAATGAAGGTTTTGTTCTCCATTCTCTGCTCCCAGCCATTCACTCCTGCTCCTTATCATGGGACGTTGAGCACCTGGTGGTGCTCTTGTTACCTGTTAAGTCAACTCTCTGTTGCTTGTTATAGTAGCGGGAAATCAATCTGTGAATAAAGATTTTGTGGGTTACAGAGTTGAAGTACTTTCCTATGTGATGGTAGAGCAATGGAAAGGAAGAATGGCTGGTGAAAACTGTTAATTTATCTCTGCCAGAATCTAAAGCCACAGCCTTGGCCTCCTCAGCAGTTTGGTCAGATACAGTTTTAAACTCATTGCCCACAGCAAGCCAGCAAACAGTGTTTGTTATTAGATAGGGCCTCTGAGGGTGGAACTTGCAATGCATCTGCATTTCATTGCTGGTACAACAAAGAACATCTGCCTACAGACTAGATGACAGCTGCACCTCAAAAGAGCTGTTTTGAACATTTGACTGCCAATTCACCAAGTGCAGCATCAGTAGTCTCCTTCTTTTTCCAAATCGTTGGACAAAATACAGATGGTAGACAGAAAAGAAAGATTAATGTATTTGGATGACCTTTACTATGGGATCTGCGATACGAGTCAACTTATTCTTTTTTGTTTTCTGCCTCAAAAGCTGGATAAAGATCTATATTTTCCATCCAGATACATGCTAATTACTTAAGGCTCCCTTTCTCTCACAGTGTCCAAGAAGGGCAGGGAGTTCATTGAAGGCAAACCATGCGGTCTGGTAGACCTGGAGGAGTTGAGCAGAAGTGGTATGGAGTGGGGGAGGAATAACCAGAGATGTTGACTGGATCCCAGAAAATTCYCCTCCACAGCAGTGTAGGAAGTCAACAAAACCAAAATATAGGCTGAATTGTGGGCATCCTAGAGAAGCATGTGCTTCCCCAGGTTCAGTGGCTGCTGGGAGGGCCAAGCATCTAAGAGAAACCAAAAACCATTCCCTGATGGAGAAGTGCGAGGAAAGCCTGAAGCCCCAATTCTGTGTTGTCTCATAGCTCTTTGCACTCTACCTGGGCACAAAATGACTTGCACACATAGGGGAGGGTGATATTTGATGATACTTTTTGTGGGGACCCTCTCTGGTGCTGCTTCCCTTTGCAGCAGTCATGCTGTCACAGTCCAGACTGCTACTGCAGTCCCCTGCCCTGTCCCTACAATCCCCACTGGCTCCATGGTCTCCTCGCTCTTCCTGCTTCAGCTGCTTTGTTCAGGAAAAGTCTGTTTTTCCTGTGCCCAGCACAACAGAACCTTGCGAGTATTTTCTCTGTAACAAAAGCTTGGCTTTGCCTGCTCTTGCCACAGGAGCTGATGGCACCAACCATGGTGCTGCAGTCTTCTGTTTGCTGGTCCCCTGGGAGAGTTGGAAAGTGGGGACGGGGAGGCTGTGACACCAGCCCAACCCACAGTTGCAGCCGTATTAAGAAAAGCAGAGCATCAAATCTAAAAAGCCTGACTCTCCATGGAAAAAAGTAATTTAGGCTCAGTGTTTYGTGCTGAGAAGAGCAATACTTCTACTTGTGCAGCTAGCTAAATAGGCAGCAGCTTGAAGCTCTTTTCTCTATGCTGCCATCCCCACCCAGCACCACAAAACGAGGCTGAGGGAATGGTGGAGTGTGACTGGGCTRCCCAGCACAGGTAATTGCTCTTTTATTTAAAAACAACTACTGAAGGATTAATCAATAAACACCACATATAACCCCAAAGGGCTAATTAAAAGGTAATTCCAACAAATGGTATGAAATTTCAGGCTGTAAAGTTCAAGCAGCTGTTAGGCAAAATCTTTTGTATGAGGTCACTTTGAACTGTGAAGTAAATGCAAGCAATTAACCTTTGCTTCTGTTGCTTTAAAACAAAATGATGGTGAAAACCTTACGATGCTGCTTGTGCAGCTGCTTACACAGGGTGAATGTTTTGTGAGCAAACCCCTCCTTCCCGCTGGCACCTCTGTGTGCTCAGACCGATTAAGGGCCAGTTTGTTACAATCTGCWAAAAATAAAGGATGTAATTTAAAAGTATTTGCTGTATAGAGAAGTAATTGTCTAAAGGAGTTAATATTCTGGTGTCAAAATCCAGCTGGGTGTGAAAAAAGGTTTGCATTCAATAGTTCCTTCGCTTTTGCTAATGTCTCATACTGAAAAAAAAGCACGGATGTGTTTGACCTGCTGTGCATCCAGGACCATTTGAACTAATTATTCTCATGYAGGAAGTCACCTGTGTAAGAGGTTCTGTGCAGAATCAGGACCACAGCACATCAGCTCAGACAATTTTACTTARAAATACATGAAGTAGGTTGGCCAAACACACTGGGGAGAAGGTAAAGCGCCAAGTCCTCTTCCAGCCTRGTGCAGCTCTCATCCCATGTGTGGCCATGGAAAAGAATTCATAATGATGATAGCCTTAAAGTGTGGTACATTTCTAGGAGTGCTGGRCAGCCTGCATGCCATAAACCCATATAGGAGCAGGGTGGAAATTTTCCAGCTGAGAACTGGAAAAATTAGGTCTTTTTTTGCCTAAGCACCCGGGCACTGGGAATTGCTGGATGCTTAGGAATTGCTCTGTGGAAATGCTGGCTTGAATCTCTACAGCCCACCTACAAGACAAGAATCTGGGTAATGAAACTTTACTTACCTTTCTGCCTCACAGGGCTGTTGAAAACCAAACAGCTTCTCTTTGTACAGCACACTGAAAATGAGAACTGCTTCATAAACCTTCATAATTATCACTTTATATTCAGTTTGAAAAATCAAGTTTAAACATACACAAATGAGGTCCCAGTGGATATTTCACTATTTTATCCACGTGATAGCCAGAAAAGTCTTAATCTAAAACAAATCTTGAGAAAGAAGAAAGAAGGCTGTGCTTCAGTGGACAGGAAACTGTTAACTTTATAGCACTTSCTTGAAAAATAGAAAGTTGTGGCAGAATAAGAGGGGAAGTCATATAACAAAATAAGAATAAACATTATAGACATATAATATTAACTGCACCTTCCTTCAAAGGAAAGTACTTTYGCTAAGTGCTAAAAAGCATAGCTGTGATATGATAAATATCTGCTAAATTACTTCAGCCTGATTCCTAACCTATGCAAAGAAATGCAGTCAAATGCTCCTGAGACATCGATTCATCTCCAAGTAGCTTCATCACACTGATAATTTAGACAGGAAGGGAGCAGTGGAAATTATTTCATGACCAAAACAATTCTTTRGCCTGACATGAGCTAGGGCTGGATGCCCTTAGCTAAAAAAAAAAAAAAAACCCAAAAAAAAAAACAAACCAAAACCAAAACAAACCAAGAAAACAACAGTGTCTGTGTGAGTGAGTCAAAGGGCTTTTCCAGCTGGCTCGTGTGTCACACATAGTTCCTCTGCTGTTGTTTTGGGATTGGGTTTTGGATTTTCTTTCTTTATTCCCTTCCTCCCCTTTTACAGCACACTCAGAGTTCACTCACATGTGCCCRCAATTTATGTCTGTTATTTTCAAATTTAACTCTGGTATCTCTACATGACACTGTATAGGAACCATATGAATGCACCTTCAGCACTAACCGAATGTGGAAGTGCTTTTGTGCTGAAAAATACACCTATTAAGTGGTTTCAGCTCAGTTGKGTTTCATTAGATGTTGGCTATTGGGCATTGCCAGAATTCTATATATTTTGATACAGAAAATAAATTCCTTCTGACTGTATGCAGTTTTCAGCTCTCTRTAGCAGTCAGAAATTTCAACTTGGCCATTATATCTGGTATAATTTYAACCAAAGCCATTTTTACAATCATCTCACCCTCACTAGAAAATGATTTGTTGTTAATATGTTCCACCTTTAAACCAACATCAGTTTTGGGCCACAACCATTTTTCTAAAAACAAAAATATTATTTTATGGGAAAAGTGAATTACACTGGCACTCTGATTTACTTGGAAGACAATGTACCTCCTTAGTGTGGGAAAAGTTTGACCAGGGAAGATATTTAATGAGAGCAGAGAACATGAGTTAATGTGAGAACTGCTCAGTCCAGCATGTTCATGATAAAATGAAATATTAATTCATTAGTTGGGTGTTAGTACTACAGCATGGGTGAATTACCTTTTTTAAGGGTACTACCATGTAATGGTACTACCATGTAATGCTTGTTTTTAGTTCTCTGAAAAAGAAATATTTGCTGAAGAGCACTTARATTTTGGGGACCTAATTATTCAATCTATTTATCATATATAATCCAATCAGAGAACAGAAATATATCAACTCAGTGGTATTCTCAATCAAACATATCCCATTTAAAGCCCACTGCATCACCACCACTGTTCTTATCAAAATGCTTCAGGCTAGGAGAAACTTAATAGGAATCAGTTGACTAGAGAATATATGTGGGAAAATCACAACATATTTAGACTAAGTTTCTTGGGAACTGGAATAAGTTACAAGAATAACTTCAATTAAACTCACAAAAAACAGACAACTAGAGCTGGTTGTTCAAGGCTGTGTCCAGTTTAGTTTTGAATATCTCAAAGGATGGAGACTCYCCAACCTCTCTGGGCAGACCATTCCAGTGTCCAACCACCCTCACAGCAAGAAGGGTTTTTCTTTTGCTTATGTGGAATTTCCCRARTTTCAGTCTGTGCCCATTGCCTCTTTTTCTGAAGGACACTGAGAGGCGTTTGGCTTCATTTTCTGTATCCCCATGGCAATCAGGTTGAGTCACTATTGATAAGACAGCCCTGAGCTGGTATCATCCAGGCTGAACTATCTCTTCCATTTTCTGCTCATATGTCAGACACTCCAAGACRTCAGTCATCTTTGTGGCCCTTTACTGGGCTCCCTCAGATATGTCCATGTCTGTCCTGCACTGGGAGCMCAGCCCCAAACCCAGCACCCCAGGATGTGTCTCAGCAGGGATGGAGCAGAGGGCAGGGATCACCTCACTTCAGCATCTGCTGAAGATATCCTGCCAGGTGATTTCTGCAAGTCTGMCACAGATGTTGCTGAAGGATAATGTATATGTGACACTAAACATAAACACATTTATTTTGATTTTTAATTTTCTTAATGGTTAGTTTTATGCAGAAAGGCAGACTGATGTTGCCAGCCTGCAAGTCCCTGTTTCTGAGCAAAATTCTCACTTCAGTAACCCCCAGCAGCCAGCACGATAACGAGGCCCTTTCAAAGCAAACAGATGTAGTAGAATTTCTACCTGTCCCCACACAAGTCATCACTTGCCTTCTGAATTTTGGTAAAGCCATTAACGACAAAAAGGGGAGCAGGAGCAGATCTCCTCCCTTTTCTCCTCCATTTGGAGGTTGGGAGCAGGGGAAGCTAGCATGCTGCAATTTGCTCAGCAGTGAGGTGTAAGGGAAATGAAATACAAATGAAATGTGGGAAGAAAAGATTTTTCTACTGATTAAAGAAGAGGACAGTCCCTACACAAGTGGATTGCTGTCACTGGCAGCGCTTGCTTCGATYCCTCTAAGCTTGTGTAGAATTAATTAGGTAAAACCCTGAGCATTTACCTTGGGCTGTGGTATCACCTGGAGGACACTTGGCATGAATTAGAGATGGTTTATCATAAAAGCCTGAGCCGCAAAATGATCTGTCTAGTGAGAGAGTCTGCCAAGTAACTCACAGGGGGTGGCAAGCAAAGTGGCATTTTTGTAATTTTAATTAGGTTTGGAGGCGGGGGGAAGAGGTTATCATGCATAGAGCAAGAAGCAGAATGATGACCTTACTGAACATCTCATGGACTTTCATACAGCTGGATAGGAGGATGCACTCTGCAAATTTGCTCAGATGTTTTCCTGCTCCTTAGAGAATTCAAAAAGGGAGGGGGTGATAAATATTTTTTAAATAAGATAACAGGAGATAAGATTGTTGTGGAAAAAGGCTTGGTTCAGTCATCAGAGAAAGGATTGCTGTGACCTCTGGGTAGGGGTGGATACGCTGCCTGCAGAGGCTGGAAAAATGCCACCAGATGTCTCTGCAGCCTAAAAAATGTTGGGATGCTGCTGGGCACACAGCACCCCCACAGAGTGCCTTGCTTGCCTTTGCTCTTCAGTAAGGGGAAGATTTAATGCAGAAGAAAGGCAATGCRAACCCTGAATCAAACCTGCACATATGACCCATTCCTCCTCTTCCTCCCCAGATTTGCACCCCCYCATCCAGGTCAACCCTGGTTTCTCTGAAAGTGAGGGAGCCAGATTACGCCACGACGTAACTTTTTCTTCCCGTTTTGGGGAAAAGCGTGTTGTCAGTGCAGTTTCATGACGCTGCTTTGCCTTACACAAAGCAGGTCTAAGGCAAAATTCTGACAGTCTTGTCTGCAGGGTCACTTTCATTGTGCTTGCAACAGCAACTGARCACCTTACAAAGCCTTGGAGGCAATAATCAATCTTATCCCTCACTGTTCCCATGAAATGGAGAAGTTAAATCATTTACCCTAAATCTCCCTTGGAATGAGCACATGGTCAGGCATGGGATGCATGGACTTTATTGAGTTCTCCCTTTTAGGAGCAGAGCTGATTGTGATTGCACACAGAAAGATCAAAGTGTTTTCTCATTCCCAGATCTCAGCCACAAGGATCACACCACRATTTACCACCCAAGACAGCAATTATTTATGCTGCCAGTGAATTAAAGGAAAAAAACAAGACCAAAAATCCCTAAACAAATCTAATGCTTTTTGTGTGTGGCTCAGACCCGCTATCAGCAATTTAGGGCAATGYAAAGGGCAGCCAGGCTGGTTCCTTTTATTGCCCTATGGGCAGTTTTAAATTTCACTGAGGAAGGGGGTGTAAGGGAAAGGAGAGTGGCAAAAATTAGATCTGAGGGAGGTCAACTATATCCACTTAACTGCTATTGACCTAGTTGTAACCAGAGCTGAGCCTAGCCTGAGTACTGGAATTCCTCTGGCCACATCTCTGACAGTATGCAGGGCCTGAAAATACCTAAATCCCTGTAGCACGGTGAAGTCCCTACAGCCTGAAAACCACTGTACATACGACTTGTCTTGTGGCTGCTTGGGGCTGACTGTAATAAGAAAGAGAAGCTGGGGTAAATTTACTGGGGGATTAAGGGGAAAAAGGTACTTTTCKTCTCTCTTTCTGGGTAATGTGTGGAAAGCCCCAGGAAATTACTGCTCTCTGTTTTCAGTTGATGCACTAAAAACCCAAAACCTTTCTGAAGAAGAGTCTTTACAATTAAGGAAATCTTGTCCTTTAGTCTCATTTCTCAGTTCCTGAAAAGTTCCCCAAATTTTCAGCTTGCTTTAGACCATTTTAGGCTGCAAAAATAGCAAAGCATAATGGAGCAACAGACCCGTGTTTCTCTCCAGAYTCCCGAGTGTGCTTTCCTCTTGCAAACACATGAAAGGGAAATCAGATACTCCTAGCCTCAGTATGAGAAAATTTTATTAATTTTAATAACTTATAGTGTAACTGTTATAYCCCGGTGCAGTAGCAATGGTGATAGAAAGTAAGCACCAACATATGACCCAAAAATGTGTCTATTAAAATAAAATAATAATAATAAAAAGCCTGGGCTTACATTAGTTATACATTTGGCTGAAATGCTGAGCCTTGGACTTATGAGCTGGCTCTGGCTCTGTTGGTCCACAGAAAGACTGAATTCATTAYTCAGGAAACCTTCACGGAGGGCACGCCGCCTTGAATCCCAGGGAGAAACTTAGATGAATAAGAATGGACATGGGCTAATTCAAACCCTTCTCCCATCTTTCAAATCAACTTAGTGATTTCTTTCTTCTCTGTGGTTCCCAGCCAATTGTCATTTTCAGTGCATCCTATCGCCCCGCAGTAYGAACTGTTCTGGGAATACGTTTCATTCCTCCAGCAGCCTCTCAGCAATGCCAAGGAATGTAGCTGCTCTGGTTACAATTAAGAAATTCAACATACAAATGCTCCCCAAGTGCACCAGAACCTGSTTGTGACCTTCACACAACTGAATCTGAAGGAGTCAAAGCAATTTTTTTGTTCTTTGGCTCCAATAATGAGTGCAAAGGAGGGAAAGGAGGAAGGGGGGAAACCTCCATTCCTCCAGAGAGGCAGCATGGTTTCAGGGGTCAGCTACGTAGAAACTGGCACAGGGCAGTGCACTTTCCAGGGCTGCATTCCCACAGGGAGCTCTGGGCTGCAGGGCCCCGGGGAGGATGCCAGTCTGTGCTGGCAGAGCTCTTATGCTGTGGAACGCTCGCTGGGTTAGCAGGTTTRTTCTCACCATGGCATGGCACAAGGTGTGCTGGCAGGGTGAGCGTGGGTAGCATGGAGCCTCCCTGCSTGCTGCCATGCTCTCCTGGGCACCTCTAGTCCCCAGAGCCACTGCTAAACACCTGCATAGGGCTGCCTCTCGCTGCTCTGCTCCATCCCTGGGGATTGTGTCTCTTGCTCTGAGCTCTTCTGGGGCCCTGCAGAGGCCCACTGGGAGCAGCCTCTACCCCTGCCTTCTGTCATGTTGCTGCCCAGGTGAGGATGCTTAAGAAGTTATTACAAAATAGTTCTCTAATTCCTTTTATACATAGAGTCAATTTAAACAAAAACCCATACACTTTTGGATTGTGAGCGTGAACATATTAAATGGAATTGAGGTTGTGCTCYCCCCTGCTTCTCTTCAGCCTCTGCATTTTCAGCCATAAGCCAGTTTTAAAATTTTCTTTACCCTCAAACTGAGGATGACACTTGCCCAAGAAGAGAAATCTATTTGTGTTTTCCAGATGGCTGGAGACAGCAAAGGAATCACATGGGAAGCCCTTGATGTGGAATCTCATTATCCACGGGAAGTTGGGGGGTCGCTGGAGCTCTCCAATGACACCTCRTTTTCACTGAGGATCAAAAATGTGACCAGCCAGAAGAGCGGGACGTACAAGTGCACTTTGTGGGGGCAGAGTGGAGAGCACAATCTGAGCAGCACAGTCACACTAAAAGTAACAGGTACAGTASAGAGCTTTGACTGTCCCATGCCCTGCATGGCATGTCAGGAAGGCAATAGTTTTAAAATATTATACAAACCCCAGACCAATATGACACCTTGCTTTGCCTTTTAGGTTGCCCTGGAACAGAAGAGGACAAACTCAAAAAATACAAGAGTGAGCTCTTCATGCTGACCTGCCTTGGGATTTTTTACTTGCTGCTCATCTTCTTTACCTGTGTAAGTAATTCCCTTTCTCATAAGCAAAGCAACAAAACCAAACAAGACACCCCCACATGTTTTCTCTTCTAGCCCTGCTTTAACACAGCTGGTCTCAAGYTGGTGTCCATACTTAATTTATGGTTGAACTCAGGTAAACAAGGATGGAGTTCCAAAGAGAGAGAACATTTCACTGCACCCTGATCTAACTAAAACTCTCAGTTATTTTCCTGCACCCCACTGCTTGTTTCTGCTTCCCGTTATTCTGTTAAACTACTCATCARTTTAAGGGCACAGCAATAGGTCTTCTGGTTTAGTACCTGGGAACATCTTCTGCCCAAGTTGGAGGCACAGGCCCCTCAGATTCCTTCCCCGCCTACGGAATTGCTTTGTTTGGTGACACGATGGATGTGTCCCAGTCCACCCGCTTTTTGCCTCAGCTGCCACACCCATAAATTGGTGACAACCTCACTTTGACAAGCATTTTTGTGAAGGCACCTCTTTCTTGTTAAAGTAGACATTTCAAGATAAACGGAAAAAAACCTCTTTGGGTGGTTTATCCATACCTTTACTGCTGGCTGGTAGTTCTGGGAAAGGAGGGGAGAGAAGGCATTTGGGAAGTTCCCCCCACAGAAGCAAAGCCATGCTCTGTGTGCAGGGGCAGTGATGTTACCCCTTCATGCAGGGGTCTGTGCCTCCTCAGAGGCAGCGTCAATCTCTGGTGTCACTACAGTGGCTGCATTTGTAGTAAAAACCAAAACAAAACCAGCCCCAGCATTCTGGGAGGTTCGATTTAACTGCCTATTTCATATTTGCCTTCCTGTTTTGCTCCTCAGCAGATRAATCATAACTGTTGATCAGAGTATATCTAATTAGCTGCGCTAAATGTAGCTTTCCATGTATCTTCAGGGAGCAATTAAATTTATGCCTGTCTCTTTTTTAGATTGACAATTCTGCCAGTAATTTGTGCTGYTCAGACGAAAGTTTGACAAGATAAATCTTGTAGGAATTTGTTAGGATGGAAGTATGAAAGCAAGGATATCACTAAGAAGAGACAGATGCCCCATGTTCTTCTCAGTGTCCTGAAAGAATTTCAGATCTCTACAGAAATCTCTCCTCCCCCTACATAAAAAAGTTGCAGTTTTAGTGGTGCAGTTATAAAAAGCAGAGCTRTGTAGCGAGGATAATCACTCCAGTGTAATTATGTGTGTCTTACTTGTGGGTGAGGCMCTGTCTCAGATATCAACCTAGCTTTCATCAAAATTTAATATTGACCCRATCTCAGAAGTGAGGTTCATTATTTGAAATGCCTGTTAAGTTCTTACAGGTTGCCTTGTCCTCCTCTTTAGTGGAGATTGTGCTTTATCTCTGCTAAACTCAACAGCGACATTGAATTTGGAACTGGTTGGCAGGACTGGGGCTTTACTTTGACAACTTGATGAAAATATTCCAGGCACTGGCTTGCGTTGAAGGCAGGTGGAAGCACACTTGCTTGAGCTCGATGCAAGGCCTGTTCTGATGCAAATGTGAATCAAATATAAATTTCCTTTTTTTGACTAAGGCTTTTGTCCTATAAAGTTCATTGATTTAGCAAGAARCAGCAGCTTTTGTTTGTATTGGATGCTACTAGTGACAAATGAATGGGAGAGGTGTAATGAGCTGTTGTTACCAAAGAGAAAAAGGAGAACATCAAAAGTTTTTTTTAAATTGCTTTTCATAGGAATTCTCAGTTTTAAGCTTTCTTTTGTGTTTTTTCTTTTAGACATGTCTAAGAAAAGAGAGTATGTCTCCCAATTACCAAAAAAMCAGATCAGATATGAAGCACATGCTCACCCTCATCAACGTACGTGAAATGACAACTTTCCAGCAATTAAACAGCGACAGCACTTGCAAAAATGAGCTTACTGCAAGTTCTGTCTAAGCTGACATTCATGGTACTGTGGACTCATCAGTAAATATCAGCTGGGTGGCTGAGTGGTATGGAGAGGAAATAAATGATAATATATGGTCTCTTCAGAGCAGAACTTTCCACCTGAAAGCACAGATGCCTTGTCAGTGATCTGCTTGTGCTGGACAAACCTTCGACAAGCACTGTTATGCACTACAATAATTTTTGAGAGTTAGTCAGCTAAGAAATATTTTTTACAGCTGCAAGTGTGACAATGTTGTTATGAAGCTGGTATCAACTTTATTTCACTCTGCTGTGAACCCCTCTTTTTCTGAGCAAGACCACACTTCTAGCACAAAGACTGAGTTACAGGGAGGCCATGGCTGTGCAAAGCCAGCAGATTAAGCTCTTCACTGCACTGATATCTGCCACCTTTGCAAAGCAAACACAACAGGTGCTGTGGCATGAAAAGATAAGTGTGCAGGGCTGTCTCTGCTCTGAGCCCGATCCTGGATGGAGTCCCTTTACTGCAAATGTCGTTCAAGTGTGACATTCACTGTGACGTTCAAGTAAACTGAAGAGGTAACTTCATGCTCTTGTACTGAAAGCAACATCCACTCTTAAATCTTAGAGTGACAGGCTGAGAAAGCAGAAGATGTTCTCAAAAACTTTCTGAATGAACTTTTTATCTCAGCAGGAGGAATAGGGACATATTTCCCAGATTAATCCATAGGAATCTTCAACAAGACTGTTAATCTTAAATAAGAATGAAGAGGCCTGTGATATTAAGGACATTTAAGATGACTTGTTTTGTGGTTTACAAAACATGGAGCCAAATGTATTCAACACTTATGTCAGTCAAGCTACATGAGGGAAGACCAAAGCCATGGCTTGGAAGAAATCAACCAACCACATCTTTGGGATGAATTAAGTTAGCTGAGAGATGCAGGAATGGAAGATGGGGCATATGAGCACCTGCTTTTGGTATTGGCAATGTAGATATGTGAAACAAGGGCATGAGAAAAGCTGAACTCAGGCACACAACAAAGGGCTGAGAAGATCTGTCCTTTTGGCCCAAAGCACAAGGGAGATCCTGAGTCTGAATTCAGGGAACCTCCCTGTATTGGATTGCTAGTGCAGAAGGTGAAGGAAAAGGAGTCTGGGGTGACTGTGGGTGCTTGCTTATGCCATAATGTCAAAATCTGAACCCAAATATCAGAATTTGCTACACTGAAGAACACAGTTTTAAACAAATACTTCAAGAACTGACTGGCATTAGGATTTTTAATGCAGTTTGGAATTCCAGGCTRTTGACAAAGAGATCTTTCTGTAATCCTTTGACTAATTTTGAAGTGTTGATGGGAAGAAAGCTGTACATCACTTAGCACTGGCTCTGTGGGCAGGGTGGATGTCTGCATTGCTGGAGTCCAAGAGATTCCTGACCAGAATGACTTCTAGTTACAAGGGATATACAAATGACTTAGAATATAGGGAAGTAATGTCACATTGCTTTTTTTGGTAATGTTTACATTTAAATGTGTGTTGCATATTTGAAATAAAAATTCAGAGGTAACCTACAATTTGGTTTTGTGTGCCACATATGGCAAATAAACCCAGAAAAYCTCCGTATCAATTGCATTTTATTTTACAGCTAGTGTAATTAGATCAAATAAGGTAGAGATGTGATTCAGCCTCTTCTGCAGGAGAAAGCGTGCATGTGTGTATAATTGATTAAACAATGGATAATTTTATGTGCTTCTAAGGACTTAACACCATTTAAATTTTCCTCAGATTTTCACTTTCTGTTCAAAGTACATTATAAAACACCTGTTCCCTGCAAAAAGGTAAGTCATTAGGGAAAACACAAGGGTGTTTCAGTGTGCCCAGTCACTTTTAAACACGGTCCACCTTCCTGGATGACCTATATGTTTAAGAGGTAAAAATATGAACTGAATATCTATCTGTTTCTCCATTTGGTTGGCTGTAATACCTGACAGCCATAGTTTGTTGGGGTTTATTACGATAGAACCATAGAATGCTAAGAGGCTTGAATGGATCTGAAAGATTCTCTGGTCCCAGCCCCCCTGCCATGGGCAGGGACACCTCCCACTACACCAGGTTCCTCACGGCCTTATCCAACCTGGCTTTGAACTCCGCCAGGGATGGGACATCCACAACMTCCCTGGGCAGCYTGTTCCAGGGTCTCACCACCCTCACAGTAAAATATTTCTTCCTAATCTCTAGCCTAAATTTAACCTCTTTCAATTTGTATCCTTGTTCTGCCAGTACAGTTTCTGACAAACAGTTCCTCTTTGGCTTCCCCGTAGGCCCCCTTCAGATACCAGAAGGTTGCTGTGAGGTGTCCACAACCTTCTCTTCTCCAGGCTKAACAGCCCTAATTTTCTTAGCCTGTCCTTGTAGGGGAGGAGCTCCACTCCTATTTATCAACTTTGTGGCCCTCCTCTGGATCTGCCCCAGCAGTTCCATGTCCTTTTTATGTTGGGACCCCACACGTGGATGGAGCATTCCAAGTGGGATCTCACCAGAGCAGTAGAGGGGCAGAATCCCCTCCCTCATCCTGCTGGCCACTCTCCTTTTCATGTAGCCCAGGATTCYATTGGATTTCTGGGCTGTGAGTRCACACTGCTGGCTCACRTTAAGTTTTTCATCAACCATCACCRCCAAGCCTTCTCTGCAGGGCTGCTCTCCATCACTTCTGTGYCCAGCCTGTGGGTGTGCCTGGGACTGCCACAATCCAGRKGCAGGACYGTGCACTTTGCTTTGCTGAGCTTYATGAGKTTYGCACAGGCYYGCCTYTCARGCCTGTCCATGTCCCTCTGGATGGCATTATYCCTKCCCTCCGGTGTGCCTAACACACCACACAGCTTGGTGTTGGCAGCACACTTTCTGAGGGTTCTCACTCTGTTCCACTGTCCATGTCACCAGCGAAGACGTTGAGCAGCACAGGCCCCAGAGGAACAGCATTCATCACTGGATAATGAATTGTTGACCACAGCTCTTTGTGTGTGGCTATCCAGCCAGTGTTTTAKCCACCGAGTGKTCCATCCATCAAATCCATCTCTCCARTTTGGAGRCAAGGATGTTGTGTGGGACAGTGTCAAAYGCTTTGCRTAAGTCCAGGTAGACAATGTCAGTTGCTCTGCCCCCGTGCACCAACACTTTAGCCCCATCAYAGAAGGTCACCACATTTGTCAGGCATGATGTCCCCTTTGTAAAGCCATGTTGGCTGTCAMAAATCCCCTCTTTGTTTTCCATGTGCCTTAGTATATCTTCCAGGAGAATCTGCTCCATGATCTTGCCTGGCACAGAGGTAAGACTGACTGGGTCTGTAGTTCCCTGGCTCTTCTGCTTTCTCTTTTTTAAAAATGGGGGTTGTGCTTCTCTTTTTCCAGTCACTGAGGACTTTCCCTGAATATCATGACTTCTCAGAAATGGTGGCTTAGAAATTTTGTCTGCCAGCTCCTTTGGGACCTGCAGACCATTCTTGTTGTCACTTGGGCATATTCAACTTCCTTAGATGGTCTCAAACCTGATCCTCTCCTACACAGGGCTCAGGGTCTTCATTCCCCCAGTCCCTGCACCTGCCTTTCTTGACTTGAGGTGTGACTGAACACTTGCTGTTGAAGACAGATGCATAGGAGTCATTGAGAACCTCAGCCTTCTCTTTGTCCAGGGTAGCCAGCTCCCCCATTTCCTTCTGGAGAGGGGTCACATTATCCCTGGTTTTCTTTTGCCTGCACCATATGTGTAGAAGCTCTTTCTGTTATCCTTGATATCCCTGGCCAGACTCAGTTCTAACTGGGCCTTGGCTTGCCTAACCTTGCCCCTAGCTGCCTGTATTCCTCCCAGATCACCTGTCCTTGTTTCCACTTCCCTGGAAGTGGAAGCTTCTTTTTTCTATCTGAGCTTGCTCAGAGGTTCCTCACTTATCCATGGAGGTCTCTTGGCATTTTTTCCCAATTTCCTCATTGCTCCTGAGCTTGGAGGATCCTTGAAATTCAACCAGCATTCTTGGGCCCCTCTGCTTTCCAGRGCTCTATCCTGTGGGACTCTATGAACTACATCCTTGAAGAGACCAAAGTCTGGTCCCCTGACATCCAGGGCAGTGATTTTGCTGTGTGTCCTTCTCACTGCCCTGAGGATCTTGAGCTCCACCATCTCATCCTCATGAGGTGCCRTGGAGCACTGCATTCCCCTTGCTGCTGGTGAGCACAAGGTCCAGCACAGCACTTCTCCTTGTTGGCTCTCAATCATCCGTTTGAGACATTTCAGGAACCTCTGGGATTGCTTTTACCATGCCATGTTGTCCCTCTAACAGATATTGAGGAGGCAGAAATCYCCCACGAGGATCAGGGCTTGAGAGGGTGTGGCCACATCCATCTGCCCACAGAGGGTYCATCCACGCCATTCTCCCGATCAGGTGCTTGTAGCAGACTCCCACTCTAACATCCCCTGTCCCTGCCTTTCCCTTTACCTTCAGTCACAAGTTGTCAGCTGGCTCCTCATCCTTTCCCAGGCAGAGTTCCAGGTCATTGACATAAGGGCTACATCCCCTTCTCGTCTCCCTAGCCTGTCTTTCCTAAAAAGCCTGAAACCTTCCTTTCCAGAGCTCCAGTCACAGGAGCCATCCCACCACATTTCCATGATGCCAGAGATGTCATCCCCAAGCAGGCCTGTGCATGTCCCTGGTTCTGCCTTTTTGTATAGAGGCATTTGAGCCGGGCCCTGGATAAAGCCAGCTCACTGGCTGGAGTATCTGGGATGCCTCTGCATTATCTTTATAAACTTTTTTAATATCTTTAARTATTTTTTAGGAGCACAGAGAGGAGGAAGGAAGGGAAAAGTCACTTGAAAGGAATTGATAATTAGTCAGCAGCAAAGGCTRAAACACTTCTAAAATTATTTCTTCAGAAGGATAAATAGGATCAGATCAGAATGAAAAAAATTGGACTTCGTGCAAACAATTATGCCCATTATTTTTTTCCCAAGCCAAACTGTCTGCAATACAGAAGATTGGGCCTCAGGCATCAACACTGTGAGTCAAATTTCAGGCTTAGAAGTTTCAGGCTGGTTGATTCTGGGGATTTGCTGTAGGCCCAGCTGTGCAGTAGAAGTGATCATGTTCAAGGCCACTTAAATGTGTTAAATTGTTTAGAAGAAGTAAAGCAGAGGAAGAGTCTTATGCCAAAATGCTTCAGTGAATCTCAGAGCTGGAGAAAAATAGGCAACTTCCCAAAGCAATGAAGGTGTCTGCACAGCTGGGGTGTAAAGGGTATAAAGAAACTTCTGTGACATTGTCAGACAAAAACTAGAATTAACTGGAATTATAATTAGAATCAAATGGAATCAGAAAGAAATAGTTTATAAGTTTATAATGACTTCAGCACCAACTGGAAAAAAAATTTAAAATATCACATATTGGCTGAYTACCTTGCAGAATGAGATACATATGTTTTCAGCATGGTATCTCCAATGAGGCAGTCCTTTCCTTGCAGTATGGATCKGTTGATCTAAGTAACCTGATTCAAAAATACTGCCCCAGCTAGCCCAGGATACAGGGGGTAAGAACATGCACGCATTCTTTAGACTTTAACAGTCCATTATTGAAGGGAATGTGTTTTGTGTTGCACAATCTACAGTCTGTTTTGATTACACAAGATAATTGCTCTGTTGGACAAAATAAATTGTTTTATTTTCTACCACTKTTCTTATTATCTGTATCCCCAGTTACTATCTATAAGATAATGTAATAGCATACAAGTGTATTAGAACCACTCTACRTAGTACTCTCTTACACTGCTTTTTAGAATGAGGAATTCAGTTAATGTTGATAAATCTGTGGGATGGGAAAACCCACWTTTTTTTTTTTTTATTAATGAAAGCTGGACATCTGGAAAACAGAAAGCTCCTGCAGAAGTCTGGATCAGAATGAGGGAGATGAGTTTTCCTGACTCTCCCRTGGGTGCCTTAAGAACGGTAGCTTTCTTGTTATTATTTCTTGTGGGTTTTGTACCTTTTTCATTGCTTTTTCCCCCTGCRATCTGCATTTGTCTACTGTTTTATCCAGCAGTGAACTGTCTGTGTTCAAAGATAACAGTAAACATTATATATAAARTTACTCATACAGAGTGAGTTTTTATACCTGTGATTAAGAAATACATAAGGAAACCCTGCATCACATGGGGAAATTACCCCAAAGAGGAATGGCAGGAGTCACACACTGGAGCTAAATGAATATCCAAACTGGCAATGAGGGAAAGCTAAAGGACATAATCCACAAAATGCTGAGTGTATGAATTATAGCCCTTGGCTAAGCCTGATTTRTGAGGCTGGTACTTACACAGCAGATAACCCAGGCTGACAGTGACCTTGACAGCACTGCAACAGTAATATTTTCTGTAAAGGCTGGACAGCTTTCAGCCCCTTTCTCCCAAGCGGGAGCTTCAAGCAGGCTCGTATGCAGGAGCATGGACCAAAGCAATCCTCGTTGTGTGCCTGTCAGTGATACAAACAGAATAGGGCTCTTCGGGCACAACAAATGCCTCCCTCCCTTCTTTCTTCTGCCCCTGATAAAACCC